TTGTGGCTTGTTCACCTTTCTACCCCTTTGCCGAGGTCACAGGGACTTGGCTTCAATTCAAACAAGGTGAAAAGGCCGCCGTCACCGGCTCGCTGCTACCCAGAGAGCTTTGTCGATTTCGGAATCGGCTGCAATGGGCCAAGAAACCTATGACTGGCAGGGACGGGAGGGCGAGGGGGCGAGTTGCGGTCTGCTTGGCAACGCCATATTAATACAATCAACAGCGCTGTGGTTAGCGATGATGACACGGAGAAAATTGGTTTGATGGACTCTCGTTCTAAATGCCCGGGAAGGTTTCGGTTTGGGAACGATTACCGCCATAAATCTGTTTTCTCACGGGCTGTTTGATCTTCTCTTAAACTTGCCATGTCTTTACCACCCACGCCAATACTTTGCTCCTGTTTAAAAATCACTCCGCAGGCTATTTAATGATTGCTGCGCGCTCTTAAAAGGAAGGTTGAGCTTTAACGATTCCCTCTTCTCAGTTTTATTTATCAGAAAGACTTTGGTTGAAACACAGGTTTTATGCGACTATAAATCTGTGTGTGTAGATGAATGTGTACAATATATGGGGCTGAAATTTGGAAATAGAACTTGCTCAATGCTCAGCATTGCTCAACAAATGGATCCGGCTTTGCTCACACACCATCTGGAGGTGACATGGCTGCTGATGGGAACCCCTGAATGCCACAGAAGGAAAGCAACACATTTTCGAATTGACGAGAAGCAAAAAATCACAGTTCTCTGAGAGACATTTGGTGCTCCACTCAGGGAGAGAGTGCTCGGACACTTTGGAAAACGACCAGTTGTCAGTGAAGAGTGAGTCTGCTTATTATATACAAATTTCATGTGAGGACATCAGTCCTCTAACATGTTGTTTGTTTTCTTCTTACGCTGCTTTATCTTTTTTTTCTGAAAAATGTTCTATTTAAAAAATTGACTGGATTCTGTCCGTTATAAGTGTCGATGGTATCTTGAATGTTGCTCTCTTACTTCTGGAACAGAACCCAGAAGGCTCTCTCCACATTGTGCAAACTTCTTTTCTTTCTTTTGTCAGGTTAGAACACATCAAACGCAAACGGACGTTTTAATTGCTTTTGTGTGCAGAACTCACTGACCTTGCTTATGTCAGTTTCCCTTGAGCCTTCGGTTCCATTGACCTCCGGCTAATTACCGAATGAAAGGTTGTGTACACTCTTGATATGGCACGTGTTGGATAAGCCTGTACGTGGCCCCCTCGCACACACACACACACACACACACACACAGCTTAACAGCAGCTACACCAAATCCATCTCTTCTCGGGTCTAGAAACGTTGACACGAAAAGTATCACCAAGAAAATAATTCCCAAGAAAAACACACAAGTGCTCCGGCACTTATTTTTCATATTTATTCCAGAACTTAAATATCTGAGAGGTTTGTTTCAGTCCATAAGGTGACGATTAAGCTAAATAAATGCATTCGGCCTCCACAAAGCTTTGCGGCAGTTGCTTTTGACTTGTTTGTCGACAGTCCTGCTTCACGTCCTCCACACCTCCCGCTGCCCTGAGCACATGTGGCCGGATCGCCGCTCTGCGTGCCCGGTCCTCGGCTGAGAGACCCTCGGCTTACACGGTTCAGCGGGAGCCCCCGACCCCACGCCGAGGCTTCTGTCCATCTCTGGTACAAGGGTCACCGTTTGCAGAGAGAGAGAGAGAGAGAGAGAGAGAGAGAGAGAGTCCTCTTTGTTGCTGAAAACGACAAACATCGGCGGCAATCGCTTCCGAACTCGCGGTCTGGGTGAAGTTAATGTGAAGACATCCGGCCAGCTACTTTCCTCCCTGATAAATCACGCTCTCACCCTGCAGGAAACACTGCCCACCCCCCCCCCCCCCCCAAAAAAGAGGAACAGAAAGTCAGTTGAACTATTCTGCGTTCCTCCTCTGGTTTCCATTTGGTTTTGAGAGCTATTAGCTCTCTAGTCCCGATAAAGGGAGTGGTTGGAGCAGCGCAAACATCCGTCTCCGAATACATCCGTCATCGTCCACATGTGTTTGACTTGAGCCATAATATCCGCTCCTGGAAAGGTTTGACTCGAGGGGCCCGGAGCCCAAACTACCGGTGCGTAGAGGCATTTACGTCTGAAAGTGAGGTGTCCCGGTAAGTTCAGTAAATACCCTCCGTCTCAGTAATCGCCTCGGACAACCTGCAACGCTGTTAAGAGATTTGACTGCTCAGGCGGTCGACCAGAAACACAACGCTTTTCAGATTTTTATTTTTTTGGGGAGCGTTTTGGGGTTTTGGCATGCGAGGGGAAAAGTGCTTCACATGCTATGAATGTCACCTCGAGTCAGTTTCCACTGGTGGTTATTCCGCAGTCAACAGAAGAATCACACATCAGTGGAGGATGACTCTTTTTATTTGGAGATGGTGTACAGTCTATTTTATTTGACTGTCTTCTCTGCAATTGGCTGAGCATCAGTTGGTCTTGTGTTGACAGTGCTGAAGCCGCTCAAGTGGCGGCCTCCTTGACTCTCTGGCTGCGCGCTAAACAATGAGCTTCCACCGCACAAAGCTGGAATGAGATATTTCACCGTTGCATTACGGGAGTTTAAAGGAGGCATGTCATTTGGCGTTGAGCAGCATATTTTCTTTAACCAGAGAGACTTGTTGAGAAGGAGATTCTCACTGGACTTTGATGGGAAACAGTGATAATTGGAGCTTAAGTTGAAAGATAAGGTTCATGCACAGTGTGACTGCAGGCTAAGAATTACAAATTATTTATGCATGACTTTCACTATTCAATACAAACACCACAAACTGAAAAGTTTGTCTCCTGAGTGAAAGTCCTGTGTTTTGTTTAGATATTTTGCTGCGATTAAAACTGGCTCAGGAGGTAAAAATTCTAATAACGCTCATTGAAAATATTCCATTTTGAGTTAGAGGTCTGCTTTCAAAAAGCTTTCTTTACTATTATTAATATCACTGCTGCATGAATGTGCATGTTTTGCTTTTGACTGCTGTAGAGGTATGAGCTCCGTTACATCCTCTTGGGTAGTTTAATGTGCAGCGATTCATCATTTTCTGTTAGATCATCATATGTTCGTGGGCTGTCCAGTGAGAACCGGTTATCTCTAAAAAGAGAAACAGCCTGTTTTCATCTTTTTGTCGATGCATTTTCCAGCCGATCCGAGAGACTTAAGCTCAAGAAGAACATTTGTTTTTTGTCCAGTGAAAAATATAATGCTGCACGAAATGGATATTTTCAATTCAAGTACATTGAATTTCTACTTGAGTCAATGGTTTTAAATTGAAGGCCTAATTGCTTTTCTCCATCAATTCCTCTCCCATATTTGGACGCCATTCATCATCTGCTGTGGTCAGCGTGTCAGTTCTATAAATATTCCCCACATGAGGCCATGAGTCAACCAGGAACTCTTTGGGAACTCGTGCCGTTGCGTGCATCTAATCCACGGAGCAGAGGTGCTCTGGGACTTCTACACCTGGCATTGAAAACCCCCTCGATGACACAGCGAAGTGTCGTATGGACGTTGCTGCATTCGCTGGGAAATAACAGACCAGATCCGAGAGGGTCACCTGCAGGTCGCGGGTGTGTGTGTGTGTGTGTGCGCAGTAACGCCGGGCAGATGCTTTTGTCGGCACAAGAAGGTCCCACTCCTAAGTACGTGTTCTGGACTAGGAAAACGTCCTCCGCCCCTCGCTGCCTGAGTGAAAGCATGGCATGTCTGTTTTCTCCTGGAAAACGGTGCTGGAAGATGACATAATGACTGCATATTACGGGTGACGTCGGAAATTTAATATCTACCGTTCTCCGCTGGCACGACAAAAGACGAGCTCTCGGGCCACAGTTGCCACAGTGATTTTCCTGTTTTGCGTTAACACCAAGTTGATTCGGCCCTTGAAGGGAGCTCTTGTCCCGCTAATTAAAAATAACATTTTCTGATAAAACTCAGTGGAAACACCTCTTTTTCTTTTGTCTGGTACCTTTCGGTGTCTGGATTGCATGACCCGTAATGCAAAGAGAGCACCCACTGTGACTCCAGAAAGCACCCACAGAGTATCTGGAGAGCAGCCACAGAGCACCCATAGAGCACCCATAAAGCACCCATAAAGCACCCATGGAGCACCCATAGAGCACCCATAAAGCACCCATAAAGCACCCATGGAGCACCCATAGAGCACCCATAAAGCACCCATAAAGCACCCATAGAGCACCCAGGGAGCATCTGGACAGCATCCACACAGAGAACATCGAGCCTGAAGAGGAACCATGATTGTGGCTCATATTCAGCCTTTTAGCCAAAATGCAGTTTACTCTAACTGCATATTCAGCAAATATGAACATTTACATTACACAGTATTAGCCAATGATTAGAACTTAATTTGATATTAATACATATTTGATATTAAATTCCTTGCAGCCGCCGGTTATGGGCAGTTTTGGAAAAAGTATTCGGGTCTTAACTTAAAGTAGCAATGGCACAGGAAAACTCTGAATCCAGTGAAAGTCCTGATTTTGTTAAAGTATATATATATATATGCATTAATCCAAATATTTATCTGATGAATTATTTGATGCATTAATGTCTTTATTACTTCAATGCTGCAGCAGGTAAGTATTTTAAATGTGGTATGGCTAATCAACAGAAATGCATAAAAATTGTTTGGTGTTCACATTTTTTATTAATAATAAAAATCTGAAAAGCTACTACAGAATGTAATTTATTAAAAATTACAATATATACCTCCAATGTGTAGCTGAGCAAAAGTATCTGAAAAGTACTCCAGTAAAGTAATAATCCCTCAAAATTGCACTTAAACGATCACTTGATGACCCACTGCTATTTGAAGGCACTCTTGGAGTTATAAAACACTAATAAGGACTCATACCTGCGTAAAACCTTCACGACACATTTATATTCTCCCCACTAATGCTACATGAGGGGATCAAAGTAAAGTGTAACACATGTAAGGAAGAAAGATAGCAAGTGCAACGGCTCTTTCAAATATATCTGCCTTTACTTTATTCATGTTCTGTACAGTATTTCATCTCCAACGTCTCTATCATACTATATGACAATAATGGATATCATTTACTACAAAAAGGTTGAATAAATAATTTAAATGTGGCAATAAAAAATAAATATGCAGTTCATTCTTTATAACAGTCCTTCTTTTCTGTCTGTAGAACAACCGTCCTCCCTCCCTCTTCAAACACACCTGAACAGGTTGGATATGTACAATCACAGCTCTCAGACCCCTTCCAGTTGGTATTTAATAAAAAACACACATAATCAGGGAAACAAGCAAACATTGTCAGTACAGTTTAGTCCAACAATACGCAGGAAGCTTTGTGAGTGTTCTTCATGAAGCGCCGTCCCGTTGCTGAGGGAGGAGGGGGTTTTGTCTGCAGTGACGCACTGGGGCCACATTTTTATTGGTCCATGCAATGATACAATTATTAGCTATTTACAGTGGGGGGGGGGGGGGTTAAGCGTCTCCGACAGAAACGGGCCCATCGCTGACTAAGCTTTCCGGTCTCGGGCCCCCGGGCAGCCGAGCGAGCGCGCTCTGCTCTCCGATGCCTCCTACACACATGTGCACTTTGTTATTTATTTATTTTTAGGTCTGCGTGTGATTCCGACAAACAGGAACCGGCTTCGTCTAGAGGAAATGGCTTTTCTATTTGTTCATTTTTAATGACTGAAATAACACAGCAATGAGCTCATTTGGCAATTAGGAGGAGTCGCAGGAATTCCCAGTCGGAGCTGCTCTCCCACTGAGTGTGTGCGTCTCGTCGTGGGGAACTGACTGGCCCGGTAGTAGCTGAGGTCCTTCCACAGGAGCCAGGCCCTTATAGTGAGCTGCCCGGACCGCCGCACAAGGCCCTGGGGGGGGGGGGCTCTCCAAAAACCTGCCAGCATCCCACCGTCAGAGCCCCCCCTCCACCCGGCCCGGAACCCGGTACCATTTCCAACACACACGCACACAACCAAACGGAGATGGATTACAACCACTCTGGAGCTTTTGGGCTTTTAAAAAAAGGCGAGTTGCGTGGCTCAGCATCCACTGGCTGTTTGCACAGAGGGGCTCGAGGGCCCCGTGGGAGGTCTCCGCATTAAAGACAAAGCGGTTTTGATGCGAGGACGAAAGAGAAAAAAACGGAAATGAGTAAAATAAGGGGGCTGTTGGCTCCCGGCCCTGACTCCTGACCCTCATGCAAATAAGCATCAGAATTCACAAATACGCTGAAAGAAAAATAAAGACCAATGATTTAAATACCAGGCCGGCAATTAGCTTATCAATTCACTCTCTTTGATATTTCTTTATCCTCTCCACCCATTCAGAGGAGATCAGTTGTGTGTGTGTGTGTGTGTGTGCGTGTGTCTGTGCGCGTGTGTGTGTGGGTGGGTGCGTGCGTGCGTGCGGAGGAGGAGGAGCGTCAGTACGAGTTGCCCGTCAGTGTCGGCGTGGTGTTCTTGCTCCGGTCGCGCTTCTTGCCGCGTTGCGCCCTCGGCACCTCCTTGGCCTCCGACTGGTTGTGGTGGGGCCTGAAGCGCTTGCACTTGCAGGAGGTGACCACGCGGATTTTGTAAGTCCGGGTGTTGCCGCTGGGACAGTGCAGCTGGAGCCTCCTCGTCCGAGAGTGGGCCGGCACGCAGCGATAGTCCGAGGCGCTTCCCCTCCACCACTTGCCGCGGGCGATGGAGTTGGGCAGGAGGTGCGCCGGCATGCACTGGCCCGAGCACAGCAGCTCCTTCACCGGCTTGGCACTGCGGCACGACCCGTCGGTGATGTAGCGGGTGGAGCGCAGCTCCCTGCAGCTCAGCTCCGCGGCACCTGTACGTCAACAAAAATACAACAAAAAACAAACACCTGAGTATAGATCGATTTGACGCACACGCGGAAAATCCGTTTTTCGTAATTTCGGCTTAATGCAAAATTGAGGCAGAGATCATATCAGAGCGTCTGAGTTTGATTCGGGGGGGGGGGATCATTAGCGGTTGACAGAGATCCAGCTGGCAGCAATCAGCTGATAGCAAATCCAGACCACGAGGCCATTAAACAGCTCAATCAAACTTAATGGAGGTTTCGGGGCTGGAAGGAAAAGCGCACAGCGGCGGCTGATGGAGAAGCAAATAGCTGTCCGCTTATTTTAAAAGAAACAAGAAAAGGTTGTGAACAAACTGCAAATCTGCCACAGTGACAGTGTTTCAGGTTTTTTAACTTCTTTTGAACAAAAACTGTTGGTTTAGAAAAGGACGCACTTGGAGAGGGGTCTGTTTTTGCTCTGCGGCTTTCTTTGCAAAAAAAAAGGGATTTATGTGAGGTGACTTCCTGTTTTACCTTTTTTTAGTTTTTCTCCCAGTGTGAACTTGATCTGGTGTGACTCTGCGGGACCAGTAGGACCCACTGGGCAGAGGTTTGCACCAGTAACCGTCCCGTCTCGTTCCCTGATTAGTAATCTCTCTGTGCCTCTTCCCCCTTTCACATGTCCCGCTCCCCCCTCCGTCCTTCAGCCTCGCACTAATGGTGGCGGCCTGCGTGACCCCTGGGGGGGGGTTCAAAGTCCCCGCTGTGACCCCGCAGGGACCAAGACCAGGGCGTCCCACATGCCGGTTGAATAATCCAGGAGGTTGCTGTGGACTTGTTTGAATGTCCTCATCAGTCATCTGTCACCCCCCCCCCCCCCTAGTGGTTGAATAAAACAAATGTGAGAAAATGTCTCGCACCCCTCTTTGGTCCACCCGCGTGAGAATGCTCCCCCAACACCGCTTTGATCAGAACATGAAACCTTTACTGGGCGCCGGTGGGAAATATTGTTAGAAGGAGTGTTGCATTTAAACTTCCGGAACCCCACCAACTCCACCTTCAACTTCACTTCTGGGACCCCCCTGAAGAACAGACTGTAGTTGGGGTTTTTTTGGAGACATGTTGTTGCCATCATGGGGATGTAAGTACAGCCTTGTTAAAGGTATAAAAAGAGGAGGAAATACGCAGGAAGACAAGGTGAAAAAAGGCCCGATGTCTCTGGGAAGGTTTCAGACCGAAGAAACACAACAAGAACGGTCGTCTGCCGCTCTCGCCCTCCAGTCTGACGGGGGTTAACAAGAAAACACTCTTCCCACACACACGATCTGCTCCTGATCAGGGAGGCACCAGGTCCAACAGGCAGGTGGTCTTGGTGCTGAGAATTTACACAGTTTAAACTTCATCATCCGATGATCTCAAGATTAAATTCTAGTGGATCATGTCTAATCAAACTATTAAACACACCAAATAATAATATATATATTTTTTTATCATTAATGTTAGTAGATAAATTATCAACATGAACTTAAATTGTTCAGGCATTAAAAAAATATTATTTTCGTATACACACATATTTGTATGTATGTATTTATATTTGTAAAAAAAGAAACGTATATAGAATTGTTGACTCTACATTGATAATGATGCATTTGAAATCCTTTATTAAGACGATATATCTGAGTGCCCGCGCGCGCTCACTCGCGTGTAAATGTGGTCACGCGCGGTGGAATTCACTGACTGATGTAAATGCATCGTGTTACAAAAGATGTACCACTTAAGTTTCCTCACTTTTTATTAAAAAAAAATAGTCTGCATCCCTATTTCCAATATTCCATTTTCCCTCCAGTCTTTTTTTTTACATCCAGAACATGAAGAAGAACTTACTGTATACTGTGTTTGCTGCCCTTCCGCCGGCTTTCGCCCGGTTATTCATACTGCCGTTGTTGTTATTGTTGTTGTTGTTGTTGTTGTTGTTGTTGCCGTCGGATGCCTGTAGTACCGCCTCGTGAGGAGTCCCAGTGTTTCCCGCGTACTCCGGTAAAATCTCCGTGGCGTCGTTCTTCAGTAGCTTCCATCCTCTCGCGGCGGCGCAGCATCCCTGCAGCAGCACGACGAGGACCAGAGACACCTGCATGCTGCTCGGTCCGAGGACGAAGACAGGACAGAGAGGACAGAGAGGACAGAGAGAGAGACAAGTCGGTCACATCCACCTCTCGGTGCAAGACGCGCCGCCCGTATTTAAGCGAGTTCTCCTCAAAGCGGGACAATTAAAGCGATGACGCGCAGTGGGCGGGGTCGAACCCGGGGAGAGATTCATTGAGAAACGAGCAGGGGGGGGGAGAGAGAGAGTGAGAGAGAGAGAGAGAGAGAGAGAGAGAGAGGGGCGGGGGGGTAATAGAGGGATGGAAAGTGAGAGGAGAGGGAGAGGGAGAAAGGGGGAGGAAAGGAGAGGGGTAACGCAGTATGAGGCCGTTATGGAGACAAGGAAGGGGAGAGGGAGAATGGAGGAAGCAGAGAAAGCAGAGGTGGATGGGGCGAGGGAGGAGGAGATGAGAGGGAGGACTAGGAGGAAAGGTGAGAGGAGAGAGGCAGAAACGGTGGAGTCACTGTGGAAAGTCAGAAAGGAGAAGCAGGATGGAAACACGAGGACATTGTGAAACAATGGGGGATGAATAGAGGAGGGGGGTGAGAAAAAAGGCCGATATAGATAAAGGGAACAAAGAGAGAGGAAGAGAGATCAAGGGAAGAAGAGAAAAATGGAATAGAGGGAAGGAGAGAGGAGAAAGGGAGCTGAAGATAAGAAAGTAAAGGAGGGGGTTTATACATGATGGAGAACAATAGGAGGAAATGGGAGCAAAAGGGGAACCGAGGGGATCAGAGGAGACAAGAGGAGGAGACGAGGGAGAGGAAGGGGCTAAAAGGAGAAGAAAACAGAGACAAGGAGCTAACGTCTGTCAGAGACAGCTGATCTGCTCATCTCACAGTGCAGCGGTTGGACTTCAGTGTACAAATGCATCTCCTCCTCTTCCTCCTCCTCCTCCCACTCCTCCTCCCCCTCCACCTCCTCCACCTTTAATGCTTTCTGCAGCATTCCACGTATGAAAAGCCAGTCTTTCATTTGTCGAGGCGGTTTATTTATTTTGGACCACCGCCTCTCGCTCCTCCTGCGCCTCCTTATCCTGCTGCTCCTCTGCACCGAAACGAGGCGAAGTGAATCATAAACGCCTCATGTGAACCAACGCAGCGCCGCCGTCTCAGTTCATCCATCTTTTCACACCTCCATCACCCTCCCTCCCTCCCTCCCTCCCTCCTGCGATAAGGTGTGAGTTCACGTGATGATTTGACATACTTCAGTTTGAGCAGCTCAACATGGACCGCTGCCGTGACGACGGAGGACTCTCACTCAAACACTGCCCTCTGGAGGGAGAATGGACGATGGTCCTCCAAGGTGATCCAGATGTGTAGAGAGTCATACGGAGGGCGTTTAGGTACCACGGCCTTCACACATCTTGGCCCATAACGTCACTTCACTTCATTTGGAAGACAATGTTCATTTTCAATGTTTCTGAATCAAAAATACACTTTTCATAAGTACGTTGCATAAGAGGCTCGTGTTTTGTTTGTCACGCAACTTGTGGAATTCCCTTTTCAACTTCACGTCACTGTAGTCGTTGGAAACCAAACTAAGTGTTTTTGTTTTGCTTAAACCTTTATCTTTAAATGCATAAAACAAGACAGAATCTGCACTTGCTGCTCAATTAAAAACAAAAAAAAGTAGGAGAGCGTTTTCACAAGATATCATAGTTTATACATTACAAGTGTGTTGAAATCACAGTATTGAATAAACAAATACACTTATGTACTTCTTACATAACAAGAGTAAAGTTCCCTTTTACTCTTTGTTGGTCTCGGGACATGAACCGCCGTCTGCTGGGTGAAGGTTCTGTGTATGTTTGACCTTCCTGCGTTTGGTGGACTTTCATGGTCGTTATAGAAGCGTTATAAGTGACAGCTGATGCTCAATTAAAACCCACAACAAACATTTATTTTCTGTTTTCCTAACATTCTTACTGCATATTTAGACATCTTCAACTCTTGACCCCATCCGACTCTCAGAAGCGTTTCTTCGTGTTAATGTGCAATGGCGTCGTCGCGGTAACGAGGGCGAAACGCGCCGATCGCTCCGCAGGCCGATGTGTGTCTCACGGTAACTGCAGCTGACAGTCAGGTCCTCCTATCGAGTTCAGGCCCGGAGCGCTGAGCCGGTGCCAGAATGCTTTTTTTTTTGCTTTTTAGGGTGAGCGACGGGTGATCCGACTGTCTGCACGAAGCCGCCCCTGATTACAGCCCTCCTCGCCGACGTCCCGACCGATGTCAGCGCCGGTCTCCATTTAGGCCTCTCTGGGTTTCTTTATGGAGCCCCTGGGCCCCAGCGCAGTGTTTTCTATCTTGATAACAGCACAACGAGGCCCAAATAACAATCAGATGCTCCCCGGATTGCGAGTAAGCCTGCAGCGCCGCAGAGGACGGCGGAGCATGACTTTGTTTTTATGGAAAGCCGTGTTTTCAGTTCATAAACAAACTGTCCTCGGCTGCTTGAGCTCTGTGTGTGTGCGTGTGTGTTTTCTCTTGCGTGGTTCGTGAAGCAGAGTTGGTGAAGGGCTCGATCACACAGGTTAGCAAGAGTAAATAAAGGAGATAGTTTTGTTTGAAACTGTGCCGTGTTCGACCCGAGGGTCTGACAGAGTGAATTATTCATTATGTGTCCACCGCAATCATGCAGAGGAGGCCGGTGGAGCTCTCTGGCCTCCCACATTAACCCGTGGACGGGGAGAACAGTGGACGCTTCATGCACGGGGAGCAAACGGCCACATGTTGATGTGACCCCGCCTCATATTTAAAAGTTAAATTCCCCAATCATGCAGGGCTGAATAGAAGGAGTAGGTGAGACTTTTTTGGCATTTGTCCGCAACACAGAGTGACGAAGACTGATACGTTTCTTAACACGTGAGATGTACGGTCAGATTTCTGGTTTTCATGTTCTGGTCGCCTCTCATTTACAGGTTTGAATCCCAATTCAACCAATATTAGACTATTCTACCTTTAATATTTGAAGGCTTTGGCTACTGCTGTTGAATAAAAGAAAAAAAAAAGCTCTTTATTGAAAAGTAATTCATATTCCTCAAAGTCAGGTATCAAAGGTGTCTTATTATTTTGATATCAATAACACAAGGACAAGGCACAAGTACTAAAACATGTCAAACAATGTTAGAGCTGAAAAGTGAATAATCGTCAGGTCACCTGAGAGCCCGAGGCACTGGACACGATGTGCACAATGATGAAACATGAAAAAATCCATGTTGTGCGCCCAGCTGCAAACTAAAATATGCAAGCCAACGTTCTTTTTGTGACCCACAAGCCTTTGCGCCGTGGACAAAGACAGGGTCAAAGTTCAAGGTGCAACATTGTGACAGAGTAGGACGTCCCAATAAAATGCAACATCTCTCATAAGAGCAGCTTCGCCAACTGGAAGACAGATGAAAACGTCAACGTGGTGACAGCAGGCTGTGAGCGTCGTCATGGCGACGTGACCCGTTGGTTTGTGGACTGACGTTTTGAAGCCTTGAGTTTGTCCATTTTGCCCTGTGGTCCTTTGGCAACAGAGACCTGTCAATCACAGTAGCGACAGCGATAAAAAAGGTCCAAAAACCTTTGGGGCCGGTGGCCGACTGCAAAGTTTCTGTGTGCATCACTTTTTAGTTGGAAACAGTTTCCGTTGTGTTGTGAGCTTGTTCCTCTTTGTGCTGCTGGAGCGTTAACTACTGATGTGTGACGCCTCCTCGTTGCTGATGTGGAGTCTTTGGTCTGCCCTCATTTTTTAGTCTCCCCATTGGACTATTAAGTTGCTTCATGATTTATTCACTAAGTCTTTTTCTCTTTGCACTTTGTTACATTTCACTTTTACCGACTCACCAACTTCCACCTCAGCAACGCATCGGTTTTTGAAACATTTTGAGTATAAGGCAGTATAAGATAATTCCTCAACTACATGTGTTGCTCATTACGAGATCTGAACGAAGCTGAGGGCAGCAAAGTCTGGATAAAAACCACACATTGTATATTTATGCACCCTGGAGTTGAGAATTGGTAAAAAATAAATGCATATTTTGAATATTTGCTGGTATGTTCCTCTCAGATGTGGATCAGTTACGAATGTCCTGATGCTTCAGTGTGGTTTGTTCCATTTGAAGAGCTGTCTTACACTGTTTACATAAGAACAATCTGGACCAATTACTACGCACAAATCAAACTTCAAAAGAACAAGATCTCTTCTGTCGGGACAAATCTACGCTAAGAGCACGGATGAAGTTACAAAGCAGACCATTGTGGAAAATCTGTTATCACGTGTATGACACACAGATATTTATCGGTGTTTGTGCATTCGAAATGGAGATCGTATCATATCTACATTTTAAGTGGCTGCACATCTGGATATATTTACAGCGGCACGCTGTTTCACATGTAACTGCACTACACGTATTCCCACTTTCAAGCCCGTCATGATGAAGAAATTACGCTTTCTCTCTTAAACTAAAACAACCTTAAATTTCACTATAATTTTGAATACGACACAGAATGTCAAAGAGAATATATCATTGGTGTTGGACGTTGAGAGAAGAATCCGGAAAGATCATTGACCCCGTCTCACACTGTTGTCTGCTCTGTATCACTTTGTACATCTCCAGCAGCTCAGACAGAACGATGATTCATCACTTGTGCAGCTGCGCGATGAGGACAAAAAGCAACACTTGTTGTTTTCATGCACCGGGCAAAAACGGAGCCGTGGACGCGGAATTGGAACGGGTCACGGCTCTTGGTCATGGATGCTGACGTCTAACTGGAGGTTCATGGGTCTGCTGGCGGCCACGCTGGGTTTCTCCAGGAGAGCAGGAGGTCACTGGGAGGTGACCGCAGGACTTGATGAGCCTCAAACTCCAAACTGGGCTTGCTCTTCCACTCGTATGTGGTTTCTGCGCACAAAAAGCAAAGGTTTTAACCCTGGCGGTTATAAATTACACTCTGGCCATTCCCTCGTGTTTGTCTTTGGGGCTTTTTTAGTGAATCATCAAAATAGAAAGTGTGCCCGTTGAAACTATCCTGGACCTCAGAGACCACGCTTAGCCGTCCTCTGACCACCTCGAGTCTCTCGGCACACCGCTCGCCACCAGACAGCCGGCTGCAGGGGTTATTCTTAGCAGGGAGAGGAATTACCCGACAAATTATTCACGA